AGGCCCTCGGCCTTACTCAGTCAAAAATCCTCACAAGCCCCTCGGGCAATAGTAAAACAGTGTTTCTCAGCCCAAACATCATTTAAAATATCATTTAAGTCTTAAAACTGAGTAAACATGGCTGAGTATGAAACAGTAGAAAAATAACATGACTGAGTTCAAGTAATAAGTCAAAACAGTGGGGAAATAGTAATAAAAATTCCCGAAGGGTTCAAATAGTTGGCATAAAGCCCCAATATGGCATTCAGCCCAAATCATGATGATAGCAAATAAGTTTCAATCAAATACACGGTAAAATCACTAACTGGGACAGACCAAGTCATAATCCCCAATAGTGCACGACCCCACGCCCATCATCAAGTTGTGTCTCACCTTAATATAGCTCTACAATGTGCAATTCGGGGTTTCAAACCCTCAGAACATCGTTTACAATTATTACCCACCTCGAACCGGCTAAATCTCTAGCTCGCGATACCTTTGCCCCTCGAATCGGTCTCCACGCGCGTCGAATCTATCCAAAATCAGAACGAGGATGTCAAAATATGCTAAGGAAACAAAGACCAAGCGAAAACAATCAATAAAGGGCACAAATCCCGAAATTACCAAAACCCGACCCCCGGGCCCATGTCTCGAAAATCAAAAAAATTACACGAATAGATTCCTTATCTTCCCACGAGTTCATACATATCAAAAGTTCTCAAATCCGACCCCAAATGGTCCTCCAAACCCCCAATGAAAAGTCCAAATTTCCAAGCCCTAGCTCTTCAATTTTTAGCTTAATTTCCATGATTTTCTAGGTGGAATTCACATAATAATCGAGTTTTAAGTCCGAGAATCTTACCTCCCAACAATTCCCTTGAATCCCTCTTCAATCTCCTTCAAATATCTCTAAAAATGACCAACTATGGAGGAAATAAACCCAATCCTCGCAGACAAGACAAGTTTAAAAACATTCTGCCCAGGTATTATTTCCTTCTTCGCGAACGCGGTCAAACCCTCGTGTTCGCAAAGCACAATTTTACTTTGACCAATTTTCCTCCTATGCGATAGCGACCAAGACCTCGCGAACACGATGCTTCACCCAGGCGAACTTTCGCGAACACGCACCATCTCCCGCGAACGCATCGCGACCAAGCCCTCGCGAACGCAATGCTTCACCCAGGCGAACCTTTGCGAACGCGCTCCATCTCCCGCGAACGCGATGAACAACTTGACCTCCAACCCAGCTGACCCCATTCCTCTACGCGATCGTGAAGCCCTTCTCGCGAATGCCATGCTCCAATTCCTTATCCCTTCGCAAACACGCAAATCTCCCATCGCGAACGCGGAGGATAAAATCCCTGCAACAGCTGAACAGATATTTTGCAATTTCCTTAACTCCAAAATGATTCGATTGACCACCCGAAACTCACCCGAGACCCCCGAGACCTCAACCAAAGCCACCAACATATCCTAAAACCTTATTCAAACTTGCTCCAATCTTCAAAACACCTCAAACAACATCAAATCAACCAAAACACATCGGATTCAAGCCTAAGTTTCTAAAATCTTCCGAATTACGCTTTTGATCAAAAACCCAACCAAACCACATCTGAATGACCTAAAATTTTGCAGGCACATCCAAAATGACACAACAAAACTATTGCAACTCTCGAAATTCCATTCCGACCCGTATATCAAAATCTCTCCTACCAACCGAAAATCGCCAGAATATTAACTTCGCCAATTCAAGCCTAAATCTACTACGGACCTCCAAAACTCACTCTAATCATGCTCCTAAGTCATAAATCACCTCCTGAAGCTAATCGAACCATCAGAACTCACATCTGAGCCCTCAAAAACATAAGTCATTATTCGGTTGACTTTTCCAATTCCAGATTCCTCAAAAGAGACTAAGTGTCTCAAACCTTACCAAAATCATTTCGGATTCAATCCGACCAACCCGATACCACATAACACGGGTAAACAAAGCATAAAGAAGCAGAAATGGGGAAAATGGAGCGGTAATTCATGAGATGACTGGTCGGGTCATCCCATTCGCGTAGAGGTGTTTTGTGTTGCTGAGATTTTTCCTACGCGTTAGTGATGAGGATCCCACATTCATGAAGCTGATGAGTCTGAGGTCTACGCATTCGCGAGAGGGACTTCGCATTCGCATAGAGGATCGATCAGTTGGGGCCTCAGGCTTTTAGCTTACGCGTTCACGAGAGAAGCTCCACATTCACGAAGGCTTGGGGCAGTGTTCACCGCATCGCGAGTGGGCCCTCGCGTTCGCGTAGAAGGTTTTTGGGCAGAAGCATTTTTGGGCTTCATGAACGCGAGGTAGCTTCCACGTTCGCGAAGAAGGAAATACCTGGGCAGACTTTAAATGTTCAAAAACGAGGGTTTGATCTCATTTTTCATTTTGGGACTTAGAGAACTCGGTTTGAGGAGAAAATAAGAGAATTTTAGAGGAAATATTTGGGTAAGGATTCTACACTCACTTTTTATTAATATCCACTAATCTATCATTGAATTTCTTCATTTAATTAAAGATTTGGGATGTGAAATTTGGAAAAATGGTGAAGGTTCTTAAACCGAATTTTTGGGAATTGAAAGACGATTTGAGGTCGGATCTGAGTAATTTTGGTATGGGTGAACTCGATATCGAATGTGTATTCGTATTTTATGACTTTTACCCGATTCCGAGACGTGGGCTCAGGTCGACTTTTTGGGGCGATTTTCTAATTTCTTGTTAAAGTTTTGATTTCATTAATGATTAGTTTCTTATAGTTATATTTATAGTATGAAATTGCTTTTGGCTAGGAATCAGAAAGTAGAGGAAAAGGCATTCTTATTGACTGATTGGGCTTGGTTCGAGGTAAATAGCTTGTCTAACCTCATGTGGGGGAAATTCTCCTTAGATTTTGATATTGTTGTGATATTTGAAATATGTGAAAGCCGTGTACCCGAGGTGACGAGTGCGTATATGAGTCATATGTTAAAAAATCTGGTTCTTACTGAGTAGTTCTCTTTTAGTGCCTTAACTGTGTTGCCCTAGCCTGTGTAGTCATCATATTTAGCCTAATTTTGCATGCGTACTTGTTTAAACTCTTACTTACTATTTGTGCAACATGCTTGATTGAATAACCTGTTTCTTTGATTTGTATTCGGTCTTTAATTGTAGGATTTCTTGTTTTAAATTCATTGCTCCTTAAGTTATGAGTTGCATATTTACTTTTGGGACTACGAGACAGTAACTCGGGATATCCCCTATTGCATATTTACTTTTGGGAATACGAGGCGGTACATCGTATCGCCCTTGTTATTTACTCTGAGTTGTTGTGTTGTTTCCTTCTGAAATTTCTCATTGTTAAATTCTCAGTCTTTCATTATGTTATAATATATCTTCTGCCTTCTTTCCTTTTTGTTCCAGTGGGGCCCTGACCTGACCTCGTCACTACTCTACTGAGGTTAGGTTTTGCACTTACTAATACCATTGTAATGTACCCATGCTATTCTTCTGCACATTTTTTGTGCAGATCCAGGTACCTCCTACCAGCCCCGCTATCAGTGAGAAGTGATTACGTGTAGATATTAAGGTATATTTGTTAGCATCCGTAGACCTCGGAGTCCCCCTCTACCTTTTTTTGTTGATCTCCCTTATCTTCATTAGACTCTGATGTATAAAGACATTTAGTATTTCTCTTAGAAGTTTGTGACTTATTTCTATTGGTTTTGGGAATTATAAACATTTTGAATTGCAGTTTTATTTATTCCAGATATTGAGATTTGAGTTTCAGCTTAATATTCAGTTAATTGGTATAATTGTTAGGCTTACCTAGTTTTAGAGACTAGGTGCCATTACGACATCCTACGAAAGAAAAATGGGGTCGTGACATGGTGCAGCTTCAGCTGACCGAGGACATGACCCGTGATAGGAATGTGTGGAGGTCGAAGATTAGGGTAGTAGGGTATGTGGTCTAGATTGTCCATACCGGTATTATTAGTACACACTCTTGCATTCTGTTGGTAATATGTTTCTTTGATTACCTGTCGTTTTCTTTCATTTTGATCATCTTATTATCGTGTTGTCTTTATGCTTCTTTTACATGGCTTTTTGGTATTATCCCTACTTGTCTATCTTTTAATTAATATGGTGCTTATATTTTTCTGAGTCGAGAGTCTATTGGAAACAACCTCTCTACTAGATATGTTATTGTTGTTGTTGTTATATATTTTATTTTTATAACCAAAAATAAAGAGGGCTTGAGCTCCATTACTTTTAGCCAAATAAATTTTTTAGCTAAGATAATGGAGCTCAAAGATGCAACAATGAATGTTTATCCCAATTGTATACCTTTTTCCCAGTAATATTCGTAAAAATAGTTTGGTAGGACTTTATTATTTTTAATCAAAATATTTTGTAGCTAAAATAATATTTCAATTGTGTATTTTTATATTTTATTTTTGTACGTGATGACAATTTGTTGTAATTGTGTAATTTTTTCGAGCCACATATATGAAATTTTTTTGAGTGGAACTCCACAGTATTTAGGAAATAAAAAAAGCCTAAATAATAAAAATTTAAACATATTTTTTAAAAATTTGGCCCTAAAACTAATTTAAAAAAATTTATGAATATAAGAAGATAATATTTAAATTTTATTAATATAAAATACCACATGAACAAAAAACTATCTATGGGATAGCAAGTGCATTACATCTTGGGCTGAGGTCATCCAAGGGGAAGAAATTTACCCTACTACCAAGTTGAAGGAGGTAATTAAAATAAAAATAGTTCAGGTAAACTCTAAATAAAAAATATCAAGTTCAAGGATCTCATATTATATATATATATATATATATATATTCCTACTTATTAAAAGAGGGAACACAGGTACCTCTTCGTCAACGTGTGTGTTCCCTTGAATTTTCTAATTTGTCTGGGGTATTCTTGTAATTTCATTACTTTACAGCTCAACCTTATAGTTGCCGACTCTTTGTGTCGTCACCGAACACGTGGACTCCCAATTCCTCAAAGCTAAAAACTCATTCACCAGAACTTGTTACAAGTATCCACTTCCAAATTGAGCATCCATTGCCCCAAAATCCACCAACCCTCACTTGTTAATTCAACGAATTTAGAGAAGTTAGCCTTTTCGATTCACATCTACCACAAATAGCAGGTTTATTCCAACCACTCCAGTATTTCATTTTATTTATGCTTTCTTTTCTACTTTTTCTTCTTCTGCATAAAGATCAGATCTTTGGGGTTTTGGTTTGATTAGTAATCTTTTCTTCAATTTAGTCTTAAGATCCATTTCAGAACGCTGAAAACAAATTGAGGTTGGGTTTTGATTTGTTCTTTATTTTTGTTAATTTGTTTTGGATTTCTTATGTGAATTCTAAGTTGTCTTCATTTTTTTTTCCTGATATTCTACTTTCTTCAAATCTTTAAAAGATTGAACCCCAACGGGTTATTACATTTCTATTATTTACCAGTAGATAGGGATGGCAAATAAGGCGTGGCGGGGCGGGGCAGGGCAAAGCTTTAATGGAACAGGGCAGTGGAGCATCTAAATAGGGCGGGGCAGGGCAAAACTTCATATTAAAAAAATTTAAATAGGGCAGGCCAGGTAGTAAGGCAACTTTTTCTGTTATCTCTAAAGTCTGGTTGTGTGCTCCAACTAGAATTTCAAGGCCAATATTTTGTTTCAGTAGTTCTTCAAAAGTTCCAGCTTGTGCAATTCTTCCATTTTGCATCACCCGCTGATATTAAGGAGTTAGATTCTGGAATTAAAAATTTGCAACTCAAAGTCTTGAATTTTGGTTAAAATTCTGTAAATCTTAAGAAGCATGAAGCACGTTATTTTGGAGATTGATAATTATTATTATGTCCTAGAAAACATGTTCTTCCAAATTCGCTCTATGCTACCATTATGATTTTTGTTAAAATATCCCGAGATGCTTACTTTATTTCTTAGTAGCATTCGTTATTTGGATTAGTAGGGACTTCAGAAAGAGTGAATGCATATCTCAAAACAACCAAGGGAAAGAAAAGGCAACATGGGGTAGGGCAGGGCGGGTCAATATTTTAACGGGCCAAAGTTTGACTTGCCCCGCCCTACCCTGCCCTGCCCTATTTACATTCCTACCAGTAGAATGAACAATAAATTTGTTACTGAGGGTCTGCTGACGCCTTTTTTGGTTTGAATGTTTTAAATACAGTTATCCTGCGGTACCAAGCTTGTGAAAAAAATGTATCCCGGCCAAAGAAACAAACGGCCATATGCAGAACATACAAACTCTGACAAAAATGTCAGAAGACGTGATATGTATAAGCAAATATCGCCTGATAAAAAAGAGGCAATGTTACTACAACGCCGCACCAAAAAACTTGAGCGGCAAAAATGGAATAATTCCATAAAATCAACAGTTGATCCAGATGAAAGAGTAATGTATCAATATCACCCTATGATTCGAAAACATAGTGCTCTTATCATAAGAGAGGCTTCTTCTGCCGAAGGTTAGACTGACTTATTGCATTTTATTTACGTTATGTTAGTGTAGCAGCAAACAAATAAATATTCATATTTTACTAAGTAATTATTTTATAAGCAGAGCAGGATATAACGTGTTTACTTAAATATATTAAATGTATGTAAATTTTGCTTCATATTTGTCGCAGTTGGAAGCAACTATGATGTTAATACTTCCTCAAGTTCTTTTGATAAAAGAAAAAATGTCACTCATGCGTTTTCTGTATTTGAAAGAGGTAAAGCTAGAACATCTATGAACAGCTTTGTTAGTACGCCACGGCTTAGGTGTACATCTAAATTGTGACAATTTGTGCCCCAGAATCAACATCGCGTACATCTAAGGGACAACATAATGTCTTCGCTACTGCCACAAGCAAGGTTAGTATTTCTTTTACGCTAGAGTATCACTATACATTAGTAGAATATTTTCCACCTTTTTACTTTTAACAACACTTATAATATACAGGTTGTACCTTGACCAAGTAATCTATAAGAAAAATAATGACAAAGATGCAGATTATGCACGATTAAAACCTCTTCCAAACTATAAATTTTGCAATGCAAAAAGGTTTCAATATGAACCTCCTGAATTTTGTTGTGGCAGCGGGTCAGTTAAGTTAGTTTCATATGAGTTGCCTAATGAATTATCAGATTTGTATAAAGGCAACACTAAAGAAGCTAAGCATTTTCGAACCTACATTAGAACATACAACAATATGTTTGCCTTTACGTCACTTGGTGTAACCAACGATAAAGATTTGGCGAGGAGATATCATAGTATATATACGTTTCAAGTTCAGGGATAAATGCATCATTTTATACCTGATTTACTTCTTTCAGATAAAAAGGAACAGTTCAGGGACAAATGTATCATTTTATACCTGATTTACTTCTTTCTGATAAAAAAGGAAAGAATATGCAGTTATACTTTTACGATAACGAAAATGAACTGGCTAATAGAATGGCTTGTTCAAGAAATATCAACGAATCAATTGTAAAGAAACTTATTCATGTGCTCTCAATTAATCCATATTCCATTTTTTAAAATCCTTGACAAACGTTCCGAAACTATCTGATTGTTATATCGCGCTTAAATGTGAACCAAAGTCAGACCAACATGTATATAATCTACCAACTACAACAGAGGTGGATGGAATATGGGTACATGATAATGTTGTCGATACTGTTTCTATGCCTCATATTCGTATATACACACATAGTGACAAGATTCAGTCAGTAAAGTATTATTATGGATGTTATGGCCCATTACAATACCTGTTGTTATTTTCATACGGTCAAAACGGATGGCATTGTAGTATTAAAAAATCGCACGAAGAGATCAACGTTATTGTAAACATGAAGAATTACCGAGTGTAAAGAATATGTGTTCCATTGATGAATTTCTTGATATGGAAGCTCAAACTATGGAAAAAGAAAAACGGAAAAGAGAGACAGTTTCTTGTTGTGAGTATTATTGTTACAAATTTCAGATAAGAGAGGATGAAAAAAATGAAGTCCTACATTGTGCAAGATTATTTCAACAATTCATAGTAGATGTGTTAATAAATCTAGAAACACAAAGATTAGATTTTTATTTTTTTAATCAAGATTTATTTCGAATAGATGTGCTACAAGGACTTATTAATTTTTTAAGACTTGGGGAAACAGAAGCTTCCAAGATTAGGAAGATAACATTCCTCCCTGTTACTTTTGTAGGAGGGCCAAGAGATATGCGTCGACGGTATATGGATGCTATTGCATCAGTGCAACGTTTTGGAAAACCTGCTATTTTTTTAACTATGAAATGTAATCCGTCTTGGCCAGAAATAAAAAAGCACTTGTTATCAACGGATAAAACTCAAAATAGACATGATTTAGTATCACGAGTATTCAGAGCAAAAGTAGAAGAATTAAAAGCAGATATCTTGAAAAGAAAAATCTTTGAAAATGTTGCTGCTTTTATGTATGCTATAGAATTTTAAAAATGTGGTCTTCCACATGCTCATTTCTTATCATACTTAGTGATAAATACAAATTATTAACACCTGAATCTTATGATAAGTTTGTTTGCGCTAAGTTGCCTGATCGCAATACCAAATAGCACCTTTATTCACGCGTGCTTCAGCATATGATAGGTAACACCTTGTCACGATCCAAAAAAATCGATCCGGTCGTGATGGCGCCTATCGTGAAACTAGGCCAGCCGACACAACTCTCGAATCAACCATTTTAAGATAAAAGTTGTTTCTATACTTTATATAAACCAATAATCTCATATTAAAACTCAAAAGAAAAGTGCGGAATAATTATACAAACCCGACATCGGGGTGTCACTAATCATGAGCATATACCAAGGTCTGAATACAACAAGAATCTAAAAATGTACTAAATACAATAATAAAAATGAGGAAGGAAAGCAGTACTGTGAACGTCGTGCAGCAGCTTTGCTATCTCCGACGACTCTGCCTATGAGCAATCAACACCCGCTACCGGGTTCCGAAATACCTGAATCTAAACACGAGGTGCAGGGAGTAATGTAAGTACTCCAACCCAGTAAGTAATAAGAGTAAATAAAGACTGAGCAGTAGGAAATGGTGAATCCACATTTATGATAAACTCAAATAGCACAACAGGCTTTCAAATCAAAATACGAGTCAATCGTCTCATTTAAAATCCAGCTTTTGGGTAAAAATCATTTAAAAATGTTTTCCAACAGTTTCAGTAGGGGTTCAATACCATTTATAATAAAAGAGATGAAAATCATAATTGGCCCCTCGGGTAAAACCTAGTTCGTAAATAGCCCCTCGGGTATAACAAGATTCATAAACACCTCATAACATAAAAATCTTAGTGGAAATAACAAAGCCAAATCAGTGATTAAATACTGAATATCTCATAAAAACTACAGCTTAAATGAAATTTGTTTACAAATATTTGTTCAATATTTTCAACAGAGGCTCAGTATAAAGAGGAGTGAAAACAGCAATTACATAAAAATAAGCCCCTCGGGGCAAAGCATCACTCATATATGTATACAGCCCCTCGGCTAGCCTCTCAGTCACTCGAGACTCAACTCTCATCAGTCCGCGCTCACACTCAGCACTCACACTCAATAATTACCATATTAACCGATGTGGCGCGTAGCCCGATCCATATATCACTGCGGCGTGCAGCTCGATCCATATATATAGTCGACTACGCTCATTGCGGGTGTGCAGACTCTGAAGGGGCTCCTACAGCCCAAGCGCTATATTGATGCGGCGTGTAGCCCAATCCAACATATCGTTGCAGTGTGCAGCCTGATCCATATACATATCGCTGCGGCGTGCAACCCGATCCATATATATATTGCTGTGTCGTGCAGCCCGATCCATAGATATATAATCCTCACAACCATGCCCTCGGCCTCTCTCAGTCATTAACCTCACAATCAGACCCTCGGTCTATATCAGTCATCAACCTCACAATTAGACCCTCGGTCTATCTCAGTCATCAACCTTACGATCACTCGGACCATCAGTAAAATAGGGAACTCAGCCCAAACAGTTTTCACATTTTAAGAAGTAAAGTGATAAAACCATATTTAAACAATAAACAAGTAAAACACGACTGAGGATATGCTTTCAAAACAAATAGGCTGAGGAAAATTAGTAAAAATATCCCTAAGAGTCTCAACAGGTCGGCGCAAGTCCCCAAACATGGCATACAGCCTAAAATATAATATCAATCGTTAAAATATGGAATATCATAAGTTTCAAATTAAATACGCGACTTAACAGTCGTACGGGACAAACCAAGTCACAATCTCCAACGGTGCACGACTCTACGCTCGTCATCTAGCGTGTGTGTCACCTAAAAGTAGCACAACGATGTAAAATCCGGGGTTTCAAACCCTCAGGACAGCATTACAATCATTACTTACCTCGATCCGGTCCAAACTCTAGCCTGCAATGCCTTTGCCCTCACGAATCGACTTCTGAATGCTCCAAATCTAGCCGCAATCAGTACATAATCATTAAAATAAGCTTAGGGAACGAAGTCCACTCAAAAATATTCAATTTACATCAAAAATCCCGAAATTGCTCAAACCCGGCCCCAGAGCCCACATCTCGGATTCTGATAAATTTTACATCAATAGGTTCCTTATCCTCTCATGAGTCTATACCTACCAAGAACATTAAAATCGGACCTCAATTGCCCCTTCAAATCCCCAATTTACACTCTCCAAATTCAAGCCCTAATTCCTTAATTTTTGGCTTAATTTCCATGATTAATTAGGTAGAATTCACACAAGAATCGAGTATTGAGTTCAAAAATCTTACCTCCAGGTGTTATCTCTTGAATCACTCTTCAAATCCTCTCAAAAAACTCCAAATCCGCCCAAAAATGGTGAAAGTTAGGCCCAAAATCGCTGACAATGGCTATTTAAACATTCTGCCCACGCATAAAAAACGTTCTTCGCGAACGCGGTCAAAGCCTCGCGTTCACGAAGCACAATCCAGCTTTGACCAAAAATCCTTCTTCGCGATCGCTTCTTGCCACTCGCAAACGCGATGCTTCCACAGGCTAATCCTTCGCGATCGTGAACCTCTCTCGCGGACGCGATGAATAAACACCCTGAAGCTCAGCTGCCCGATTCCTCTTATGCGAATGCGGTCCACTTTACGCGAATGCGATGACGAATCACACAGCCTCTTCGCAAATGCGGAGCCTGCCTCGCAAATGCGAAGGCTAAAATTCCAGCCTTCACCAGCTAACCCTTCGCGAACGCGAGGGCCTAATCGCGAACACGAAGGCCATTTTCTCTGCAACACTGATCAACAATTTCTGCAACTTTTCAAAACATGAAATGGCCCGATGGACCACCCCAAACTCACCCCGAGGCCCTCGGGACCTCAACCAAATATGCCAACATATCCCATAACATCATTCAATCTTGTTCCAACCTTCGGAATCCTCAAAACGACATTAAAACACCAAATTTGCATCAAATTCAAGCCTAAGAATTTCAAAATCTTCCGAATTACGCATTTGATCAAAAACCCAACCAATCCACGTCCGAATGACCTGAAATTTTGTACACATATCACAAATGACACAAAAGAGCTGATGCAACTTCCGGAATTCCATTCCGAGCTCTATATCAAAATCTTACCTATCAACCGGAAAACGCCAAAATCTTAATTTTTGCCAATTCAAGCCTAAACCTTCCACGGACTTCCAAAATGCATTCCGATCACGCTGCTAAGTCCCAAATCACCTAATGGAGATAACCAAATCATAAAAATTCCGATCCGAGATCATATACCAACAAGTCAAATCTTGGTCAAACTTTTCAAATTTCAAGCTTCAAACTAAGAACTGTTCTTCCAAATTCATTCTGATTACCCTGAAAACCAAAACCAACGATTTACATAAGTCATAATTCATCACACGGGGCGAGTCATACCCAAGAACTAGCGAGCAAAGTACAAAAGCTCAAAACGATCGGTCGTGTCGTTACATCCTCCCCTACTTAAACATACGTTCGTCTTAGAACGTGCCCAAAGTTGTTCCAAAAGCCAACCAATTGCTGAATAACGTTACCATGCACATACCCCGGGGTGATCCCACGTCACCCTATCTCTTATAGGTCTGATAACACAATGTGACTGAAATTTCATAGTCCAACCTAGCTCATTAACCTTAGAACCACATTTCCACTTCTGAAATCATCCATAAGACCAAAATCTCACATCTATACTCTGACTAAGTCCGAACAAGCTGTAATAACCCATACCCGCAACATCGGTGCAATAATATGATATACCACATAACTCAAACGCTTGCAGCGATAACTTCTAATCACAGCAGTTATACACAATAACCGAATATCGATAGGAAACCTCTTGTCAACTAAAGTCTCATTCCAACACTTTCATATACTGTCAATGATAAATGAAACATGTAGTAAGCCATAACCATTTTTCTCAGACCAATCATTCATAAAGCCACTTCTTCTTTGGCAAAGACCATAGCAAATTTATGCGCCGAACCTCGATGTTATCCTTCCAACATGCTGAAATCAATTCTGTTTGCAGTCATTAAAGATCCTCACAATCTCATCTAATCCAACACAACTACTCTGGTGACATTGACACATCAATACCGACTAAAGCCATGACTTGTGCAATCTGTGCACCAATAAGCCACAATCCGAACTTACTCAAATCATGAAAATGACTCAAATGAAAGAGATGTATCACAAGCTCACTAGTACCACCACAACACAAGGCTGAGAACCCGCCACACATTGTAGAAACAGAACACACGAATCTAACCCGCAGGATCGTACTTCCACATAGCTTCGCTCCAATAATCGACCTCATCCAAACACTGGTCCACATGAGACACCTTAAGTTACTATGCTCAAATTCGACAATCGTGCGCAATATGATGTCTAAAACTAAAGCAATCATCATAACCACCGCGAGGAAATTACATAACACCATATGACTCGAAAGGACATAACCGATACGCCATCCACCGAG